GCAGGGCCGACCAGAAGGATGGAAATTCAGCAGGGATTCTATGTTGCAGTCTTGAAAAGGAATTGCTTCTTCTTTGGGAAACTTCAGTCTTTGCTCCTGAGTCCTTCAAATGATTAAATAAGACCCATCCCCAACCCCCAACCACTCCCCACCCATCCACATTATGGAGGCTAATCTGTTTTACTCAGTCTACCAACTTAAATGTACTCACATCTAAAACATATGTTCGCAACAACATGAAGACTAGTGTTTAGCCAAACAACTGGGCATCATAGCCTAGTCCACAATAAATTTCCTCACACCACCTATCTCAAATATGGAATGGATGTGGTACCTGGCCCTGTGTAAGTAATTCTTTTGTGTATAACTCCTCTATCACATTAAAAATAGCAGTGATCAGTGTAGGTATTGAGTTTATACTACGTACATAGACTGTCTACATAGACTATGGACATCCGCTAAAAAAATGGTTTGTTAGCTTTTGCTCACAATATTCTGTTTAATCTTCACCACTCACTTGGAGGTAAGTAGTGCAGCTCTGTATGATATGGCTGGACTCAGAAAGCTTGATTTGTAAGCCAAATGGATCTAACCAACGAGATACAAGACTAGGGTTTACATCTAGCTCTCTTGGCTTCTAATCTTATCTCCCAAATTCTAGCACCTTCCTCTCTTCCCGTATTTATATTGGTATTAGGTTATGATCGTGTGCTCAGATGTAAGAGAGATGTATCTTTTCTGTGTCTCTTGAACCATTCCTCTAAATGAGTATTTACTTATGAACAATCTTTCTCCTCTCAAGCATGTAAAAAAAATTCCAAGGGTTGCATTAAGCCTGTTATAACCCAGAGCCTCTCTCTTGACCCCAGCTGCCTCTTGTTTTAAAACAATACTTGGAAGAAAATAAATTGTTAGCTCTCGTGGCAGAGCCTTTATGCCAGGCTTTAGGGGATCATTACCATAATATTATGCGTCAGGAAGCAATTTTCCAAATGACACTTCGGTGACCCCAAAGAGCCTTAAATCAAAAAGAGAGCCCTGGATTCTGTCTATTTAGTGCAAAAACAGTCATTGACTTCTGTTTTTTAAAATAATCAAGCAGATATCACACAGAGGACAAAGTTACTGAGCTTTCCATTCTTTGGGCCGCTGTCTGGGTCCAAGTAGATATCATCATTTTGTTGGTCGAGGTGCTAAATTTGGGTTGTATTAGGAAGGGATGGGGGGAAAGACTTAGAAATGTGTCATCCTCTGGCATGGTAGTTGAGAATTCTTAACTGGAATATTCATAAAACTGGAAGATAAATGTCTAGGGAGAATGGACCGTGTCTTTTTCAATGTTTTATGCCCGTCTGCTTGATCTGTGCCTCGTTCCAAACACCAAGGAGCCCAAGACCCAGTTCTCAAACTGACTTATCAAACTTCCCCAAAGTAGAGACTGGGGTCTTTCAGTAAGAATTTGGTTTTCCTCTTTATTCAATAGCTTAGTTCTCCAAAATGCACATAAAATGGGCCTTTCTCATGCAGTTTCCAGTACACTTTCCAGAAAATAAGATGTACGTGAATGCCATGTCAATTGAAAGAGCTTTTGACTAGGAGTATTATGGTCACTAGAGAATAATCACTTGCTATGTATATTATGCAAAAGACTTTGTCTAAAGCACTCTTGTTTGTAAATAAAGCCCTTCAATGCCTATAATATAGGTGTAGGTCCACCATTCACTTCCTAGAATACTGTTCTTGATAAAGTACCAGAATAGGCACACTAACGTGAGCCACTTATTTCTGCCTGGTTGGAACAATTGTGTTTGTTTGTAGGAAAATGGGACAGATGATGAACCTTGGCAAAGAGTTCCCAAACATTCAGTTCCTCCTTCACATAGAGTCAAATTTTCCGGAGACTGAAGTGACGGCTGTCAAACCTGCTTCTTTCCTTGGAACAGCCCACAAAACATAGGACAGAAAGGGATTGAAACCATCAACCCAAATGACTACCCTGGAGGAACAGTGGTGTGCACATTACGTAGGGCTTAACGGCCATCATCCTTGTCGCTGTGGGGTGGAAAAACCTAGCTAGAAATGCACTGATGAACAGCCAGCACTTCAAGAAAAAATTCCAAATAGAAACTAACTCAGTAAAACAGAAAGGTTCTGGGCACAGATCAGCTGGAGAAAGAGAAGAAGGTGTCAAGAGCAGAACCCAGCCAGTCCAGATGGGACATGGCTCCCTGTATACCTCGCCCAAGCATTGCTCAGCGGGCATGTGAGACTTCAAGGTGTATCCTTTGTAACCCACTGTGTTACAGAAAGTCATAGTTCTCTTTATAGACTGTCGGCTGCATCATCACCAAAAAAAGTCATTTTACCTTCTTCCAAAAGTAGCAAGTCCAACAACTTCTCCAAGGAGTGCTGTGTTCTGAGGATCCGATTACTGGTGGTAAATTCAGCTCATTACAAGAAAACAGAGGATGAAAGGAGCCCCACAGATGAAGCAAAGAGATGTCTTGAAAAATCGACTCCATCAGCGTTGAGGAGAGTAGGCCAGCATAGAAACTCAGGATGGTGTTGCCAGGAACCACTTGTCAGTTAGGTCCTGAGAGCCCCATGTGTGTTTGGGTGTCAAAACACAAAACAAATAAAAACAAAGAAACAGAAACCAAACACAGACTTAGTCAGGAGAGAGTTTTATTCCAAAGGATTATTGGAAGTGTGGGGAAAGCCACTAGGGACCTAGGGTCCGTGGAGCTTGAGAGAATGCTCTGTCTGTCTATAAGGTCAGCAAGGACAGTTAGGCAAAAGGGGATTTAAAAAGATTTTTAATGTTTATTTTTGAGAGAAAGAGAGAGACAGAAACAGAGAGAGACAGAGCATGGGGAAGGGCCAGAGAGAGGGGGAGACACAGAATCCGAAGCAGGCTCCAGGCTCCGAGCTGTCAGCACAGAGCCCGACGCAGGGCTCGAACTCAGTGACAGTGAGATCATGACCTGAGCCGAAGTCAGACACTCAACCGACTGAGCCACCCAGGTGCCCCCAAAGGGGGTTTTCTCTTATAGAGAAGAGTAGTCATGACTGTCATAACCCACAACTCTGGAAGGATCTGGGCATGGGAAATGTAATGAAAGGTGGCACAATCCAATGGTAGACCAGAACTTGGTTTCCCTCTGAGCCAGCCTGTCCTCAGGAGAAGCTGTTCTGTCTCAGGCTGAGCATGCCAAATAAAAACAATCTCAGTAGAAAATTCAGGGCCTTGGGAGAAGGAGAGAAGCTGAACTAAAGTTTGCTTAACAAAGATTTTTGTTGCGGTGGATGAGTGGGAACAAGCCATTCAGTGAACCATTGACAAGGCAAAGAATGGGAATCTGAACAGTGTGTGTCTGGCTCGTCTAGGTGAACAAGCAGGCGTTTGTGAACTTATCTAGCTCACGTGAGGGAGGGTGTTCTTCCCAGTCAGCGGCTTTCCAGAACAGGGAGGGTGGGGCAATTTCTTAACCTTTCCCATTTTCCAGGATCACGGGGTTCTGGTAGATTTCAACATTGTCCTGGGTGAAACCCTGTGGAAGGGTCTTGGGGGAAACATTAGTTTCAACGCTCAGCCTCCTGGCCGCTCAGGCTCCATGCACTCAGCATATAAAGAAGGAAGATGACTGTGAACGGAAAGAATGTCTTGTGGAATCCCGTTTCATGGGATGGCGTTGGTGCCATGGGTATTGTCGCTACAGCTTTTCTTGGTCATGTGGCTCTGGGAATCATGGCGCACTCTGGAGTCTCCAGGAAGGAGACCCTGGAGGCCTCTTCCTTGACCCATTGGAACAAGCTCACTGCACACCCCTTAGAAAGGATTTCTTTTCTTAATAGCAGCTTCCTTGAGATGGAACTCCCATGCCATTCAGTTCACCGACCTAAATTCCACAACTTTTTCAACAGATTCAGGCTTGTGCATTACCACAATTTTAGAACATTTCCATTCCGAAAGAAAACCCCATAACCATCAGCAGCCACTCCCCATTCCACCCTCTGCCAGCACGTGGCAGTCACCAGTCTGCTTTCTTTTAATAGGTTTGGCTTCTCTGGACATCTGACGTAAATGGACTCTACAACGTGACCTTTTGTGTCTGGCTTCTTTCACTGTGTATGATGTCTTTGAGGTTCAGCCACATGTGGCATGTGTCAGAATTTCATTGGTTTTTTTTTTTTTTTCTGGCCAGATAATGTTCTGCTATATGAATACAACACATTTTGATGATCCGTTCATCACGTGGTGGACATTTGGGATTTTTCCATGTTTTGGCTATTATAAACAGTGCTGCTGTGAACATTCATGTATGAATTGTTATGCAGACATACGTTTTCTTCTTGGACAAATGCCTTCATTTCTACAAGACTCTCATGACCACCAGGGGCCACCCACTATTAGAGGATGGATCCCAATGGGTACCTCCTTACAAGTACCTATAGAATCCAGGATTCTGGGCAGAACCAAATATGCAGCAGCTACCCCCTACCCTTATACTCTTGCCATGGCTCATTCTGTCTGCATGTCCCATAGCTTAGATTTGCACTGAAAGTATTAGCCCTTTGGGTCAATCATGCTCTCAAGAGATGAAAAGCCCATTTCCTCCTGGAGGAAAACATGGGCAGGTAGCGTGTTGGCCCGAACAGCAATGGCTATATCCCCTCTCAAAAAGATATTTGCAGTGAGGAAGCAGTCCAGTTGATTCAATGATACTTTGGTTAAGTCATGGCATTCAAGCAGTGATGGATAGAGAGAAGGTACAGCATTTGGGTCAGAAGAACTTGGTTCAGTCCTATTCAGGCTCCTTCTTAGCTTGGAAGAGACTGCCCACCCCTTCTTCCGTATGCCCAGCTCTGCCCATTTCCAGTCTCTTAATGGGTAGATGTCCCCAGGTGACCAGGTCCCCCCAGAAGTGAGCAGAAGTGAATGTACCAGGTGTGACTGTGGATGTCTGTCACAGGATCCACCCCTCTGCACTTCCTTCCAGCTGACTGGAACGCTGATGCCCAGAGGGACCCTGCAAGATGTGGGCTGAAGACAACAGAGGCATGACAGCTTGGATCCCCGAATGACTGTGTGGACCAGAGACTTCCACTGCCCCATGGCACAAGCCCTACACTGTGCATGAGAGTGACCACGTCTGAGCCACCACGTTGGGTCCATTTGTAGCTGCAGCTTACCTACTCTAAAGCACCACCTCTGGTAAGTGATATTTCTCCCCGGAATCTCATCTGTCAGGGATGATAGCTGTGCCAATACCTTCTGTTCTTTGGGGAGTAAATTAAGCAATGCATGTCACCAGCTCTATAGCTGTACGTTGTAGTCAAAACATCTATTGTTAGAATTAACATTGGCTAGAAATCATTGCTTATCAGTCATAGCTGAAGCTGTAGATTAACTCACACAGAGTGGGGCTAGAGATGTAGCTTTTAGAAAATGTGGAAGGAGACCCACAATCATCATCTAAAGGCTAATTTCCAGAACTCTAACTATGGGCTTTGTAAGGAACAGAAAAAACTTAAAACCAAAACAATCCTTTGCAACAGACCTGGGACAATTGAAAGAAACGTTCCCACTAGGGGCATTTCACGGCATAGGTTTTCCTCTTTGAGAGACTGTGATTATTTAGACATTTAGTCAGAGACACGTTTAACAAAATACGAGCTTTCCAAAGTGACTATGTTATGTCGAAGAGGAGTTCGGGTGGCAGAAATAATAGAATCTAATCTAAACACAGGACCTTCTGGAATTGTATAGCAAAGATTTGATGAAAACTAGACAGAACTATGTGACATTAATGCCTGCAGCTGTTTGTGCCTGGAATTTATTGTGTGTGAACGCTCTGTCATACATAGGAGTATAGCATTGGCATCAAACACGTTTTATGGAATTAGTGAGAACATTGTGTTATTTTATTTGACAAGAACACGTTTGTTCTTTTATATGACTTTTAAAAATATTTTTGGGGGAGTGCATGCAAGTGAGGCAGGGGCAGAGAGAGGGAGAGGGAGAATCTCAAGTTGGATCTGGGCTGCCAACACAGAGCCCGACATGGGGCTCGAACTCACGAATCGTGAGATCATGAACCATGAGATCGTGACCTGAGCCGAAACCGATGGTCGGGCGCTTAACCAACTGAGCCACCCAGGCACCCCCTTGTTTGACTTTTTAGAAAGAGACCTCGCAGAGGCATACCCTACCAAATTAAAACAGTGGTCCAGCGATGTAGACTGACATCTCTACCAGTGGTTAAAATGCCACCTCACAGCACAGAGAATGGATTTTTTGAGCTCGACAGCAGGACTTTTATGAGTTCTCAGTACGTGCAAAATTATAATAATTGTTTCCACTTGCTCCCTCTTTCAGAATCATTAATTGATTTTCCTTATTGTATTCAAATTACAGACTATATTTAAAAATGTTTTATTAATTGCCAGCATACTCCAGGCTCCTTGGCAGTGTGTTTCCACTCTGCAGAAGCTGTTGCTTGTTTTTGTATTATTTATGAAGGGTATGTTTATTGTTTCTTAGCATAAAGAGTACTTCTTCCAAGTGCCGGATCGCTCTCAGGAATAATGATGTTGTGTTGATACAGAGAAGGGGAACGAGCCTTCGGCTCCTGGGTCTGTCCTTGGGTCTCTCACTTACTAATTGGGTCGCCTTGGAAACTCAACTTAAACTCTCTGTGTGTCACTTTTCTTGTTTATAAAAAGAGAATGGTAATCACAGCGTCCCCTTCATCGGGTTGCTGTCGGGACCAAGGAGCTTAGCAGAATCATTCTTGGCTCCATTGTAAATGTTCAATAATTGTGTTATTTTTATTGTTAAGCTTTGGTGCTCAGGTGATTGCTTTATTCATGACATGATTCTGTAGCCCTTCCCTTGTGGTAGAGATGGTGCTGGTTTCTTGCAAACGTAGAGATAGTTACAGGGAAGCTTTGGTGAGCTTCACACTTGGCGGGGAGGAGGCACCATGACCTCCATTCAGTGTTGTTGTGTTTACAGTTGGAGTCACTTCAGAAAATGCTGGTGTCAAAGTATGGAGTTCTCAGTTAAGACGGGGAAAGGTATGCCGTCACAGAGGGGTTGCTTTCATTTCTTTGGACTTTTTCTTTTCTAATTGTGCCGTCTCCCTCCCATGAAAGTTTAATGCCATAGTTACACGGTGCCTCTGGTTTTGTACTACGTGCCTATTTGTGCTTTATACATAAAAACACTACGACTTTTTTTACCCCTAAGACTCAATCTTGGTCCTTTAGGGGTTCTATCGTCTCCATTGATGGTACATGCCGTACCAAGAAATAGCACCATTGAATGAGCGGAGAGGAAATTTTGATAGACAAATAGGAGTGTATTCCCATATCACACTAGCTGAAGCTTCTTATATATTCTTGAGTGACACAATCCACACATGTCTCTATATCAACATCTGCATATAGTTATTTTTACATATACATGTGCCTTGTATATGCTGATGCTGTTTAGGTATGTATTTACATTATTATACTTGCAAACATACCTCATTCTAGTTAGCAAGTAGGGTTTGCATTATTCTTTTTTAATATTCTAAAAGTTTATTTTTTTATTTTGAGAGAGAGAGCAAGTGTGGGGGAGGGTGAGAGGGGAGAGAGAGAATCCAAGCAGGCTCCACGCTGTCAGTATGAAGCCTGATGTGGGGCCCGATCCCATGACCCTGGGATCCTGATCTGAGCCGAAATCCAGAGTCGGATGCTCAACCACCCAGGTGCCTGAGTTTACATTATTCTTAACATATGCTTTTTAGTGATTTTTTTTACATAATTCAGAGGAACAAAAAGAGCGTATAGTCTTCCAAATACTATTTTATGTCATGGTTAGTAAGTGGACAAATCTTGTAGTTCATAGTGAACAAAACTGGATAGGCAACATGTGAAAAAAAAAGCCTCATTAAAATCTGTTTTCCCATCCTAGTTATAGAGGCAAGCATTTTTGTAGAAACTTTGGATATAGTAGAAAAGTATACATGAGAAACAAACAGACAAAAAAAATCATCCGTGAACTTAGCGCTCTGGAAACATCATTGTCAATGTCTGAGTATCTGTGTGTACACACATGTTCTGGTTATGATAAGAAACACATGCAGAGCTAAGTGTTAGAAAAGGGGGTAAGGTCCTCAAGATGGTAAGACACACTGACTATGTAATCTAGAATCTAGTCGTGTTCAAAAAGAGATCTGGCCTTTGCCCCTTACCTTCTGGAGGTGACCTCTAAGCCCTTGGAATGTCCTGTGAAAGCGGTGTCTTTGCCTGGGGCCTTGGGGTCACTGGATTGTGTAACATTGTGATTTAGGGTGGGGCTTCTGGCCATGCCAGAAAACCTCACAAAGTGACCGAGGGTGGAGGCTTTGGGTCATGCGATATCAGCTTGTCTTCCTGAGTGTGTTGGGACTGAGGTCGGCCGCATGGTCAGTCCTTCTTACATGATGGAGCCCCCATAAAAACTCTGGACACCCAAGTCTCAAGGGGGTGTTCCTTGGCAGTTTTCCATGTATATTTTCACCCATCAGTGCTGGATTGTAACACTGTCCACGTCTCCACAGGGACAGAGTACCTAGAAGCTCTGCATTTGTAATTTTCTCACATGCGTCTCCACATGCCTTTTCCCTTTGCCAATTTCCGTGTGTACCCTGTAGCTGTAGTAAACCGTAACTGTGAGCAAAACAGCTTTCTCTGATATCTGGGAATCCTTCTGTGGAATTACTGAACCTGACGATGGTCTAGGGATACTCCCCAGAGCTTGCAAAATTGCATCAGAAGTGATGACAGTCTTGGGGACTGCTCTCTGTACTTTGGTGGTTGGGTAACTTTGGCATGGGCAGGTAGCTAAATACAAGGGGAGACCACAGGAGTGGGTTAATGCAAAGAGTTGGGATGTAGTGAGACGGACAAAATGTACGGCTCCAGCTAAGAGACCAAAGACCTTCCCTGGGGGGTTTCCTAGTGCAGGCACTGTTAATCAGGGCTGGAGCTTTTATACTCTCCATGGCATGGTGCAAGGACGGCTAACCCTGTTTAACAAGCTGGGTGCAAGGGAATGAAGACCATCTCTAGTGCTAGAGAATGCTAGAAGCAGCACACTCAACATGAGGGGGAAGGTGTTGTAGGCATGATGGTCATGAGGAGGAGCTTCCAGGAGGAGAAGAGCTTCAGCTGGGCTTAGACGATGAGCGATTTTGGGAAGGTCACTTGGAGAAAGGGGGCAGCAGGACTGAATGGTGAAGGCAGTGATATTTAGGGAATGCTTATGGTGCAGGGCGCAGACCTCTCTTTTTGGGAGGGTGAGTGGGAGTGGGCCCATGCAGTAGAGGGACAGTCATATTTGAGAAATTTGTGGGTGATCTTGAACCTCTGGGTAGGGAATCCGGGTTCTCTCCTGTTTGATTACTTACTGTCCTTAACTATGGCCTCGGGAAAATTAGTTTCTTCATTTGAAAAAAACGGTCTGTTAATATTTAATTTAGAGAGCTCTTGTGAAATGTAAGTAGGAAATGTATATAAAGTATTTATTACTTTCCTTCGCACCTTGGAGATGCTCACAGTACGGGTTTCCTTTTATCCCAACCAAGAATAGCCTCCAGGTTTAAGCAGGAGAGTTCTATGAGAAATATGGTATTTAAGAATTTTTTTTTCTGGAGGAAGGCAACAGAGATGAAATTGAATTAGAAATAATTGAACATGGAGAAAAGGAACTCAATAAAAATAAGAAATAAATATAACTTGAGGTATTTTGAAAATTGATACATTAAAAAAAATCCCATGGCCACACAACTCAAGAAATGATTAACAGTGGAGAAACTCAACAGATACTATCTTTAATAGATGACCATGGTTAACATCTTCAGTGTTGAGTCATATGGAAATCATGGACCCCCGATAGGATGTGATGGGAAGGACACCTCCCCTCTGAGCACTGCTTCCCCAAAACCCCTATCTCTGCAGTTTAATCATTAGAAGGCATCAGACAAACCCAGACTGAGAGACAATCTAGAAAATATCTGTGAAGGTCACAAAAAGCAAGGGAATTCTCAGAAATTGTCATGGTACAGAGGAAACTAGGAGGTATAATAAGTAAATACAATGTAGTATCCTGGATGGGATCCTGAAACAGAAATATCTCACAATTGGAAACACTGGGAACATCCTCGTAAAGTCTGTAAATACAGT